CCCGATCCCGGGGGCGGGGCGGGCGAGGGCACGGGCCGGCGGCGGCGGGGCCGGGCCGGGCGGGTTGGGTTTCACAGGGAGCCGCTGGGAACGAGCGTGGAAAGCGCAGATGCCGCCGCTTCCCACGGGCCGGGCGCGCCGGCCGCCCGCCCTCCGCCCGGCCTGCAGCTGCCGCCTCCTCCCACGCGGCTCGGCCGGGGGCGAGGGGGAGGCGGCATCTGGGTCACAGGCCCCTCTCGGATGCTCGGGGACACTGCCCTGGCCTCCCAGAAGGCCCAGTCCCCGCTAACCTCGTCCTCCGCTCCCACCCCGCGCCTTCCCTCTGCAGCTCGGCTGAATGACGGATGTTTGCCCACACCCCAGGCGCTCCCATCACAGGGAAGAGGCTCAGCCCCGGGGCTTTTCCTGCCCAGACTTCAGCCAAAATAAATCTCCAGCCCAACTGCTAACCCTCTTAACGTTTTCTGCTCAGAAGCTCTCTTAGAATGGCGGGGACTCGCGAGGTCACACTGAGGTATTCACTTGGCCAGCACTTCTGAGGCCCTGTTCAGGCTCAGGGCAGGTGCTGGGTGCCCTCAGTCAGGCCCCAGCCCTCCAGACGCTGTTCAACTCTGGTGTGGACACCGCATCAACACACAGCAAACAAGGTGGCTCCCCTACATTTTGGAATGTAAGATGCCACACATCTGAACAGGAACCCGTGAGCTGGCCTTCACCCCACACCTGCTCCTCGTCTCCTGGGGCTTCCCCATTTTAGTGAATGCACCCCAGCTTCCAGTTCTGTAAGGCAGAAACCTGTTGCTTTCTTTGATTCTTCCTCCTCCTCACTTCCACCTCATCAAACCCTGCCCATCCCATGTCTGTCCTCCTCATAACCACCACCCCCTCAGTCCCAAGGCTCTATCATCATCCACCTGAATGGCCACAAGAGTGTCTTGGTGGGTCCCTGTGCACCCCATTTTACTAGCTACAAGCCTATCTCCACACCGCAGGCAGAGTGATCGTTTAAATGCCAATCTGATCTTGTCAGTCTCTCAAAACTCCTCAATGGCTCCCCAATGCTTTTAGGATCAAGGCCACCATCCTTCAGGTGGCCTTGCTAGCCCCTGTTACCTCCCAGACTCAACTCTTATTCTGTGTGCTCCAGCCTGTGAATACACTAACTCTCTAGGCCACCCCATTTCCCCAACCCAAGCCCCAGCCCCTTTGCCCAGTAACTTCTACCATCCTTCAGATCTCGATTCAAATGTCACTTCCCTGAGGAACCTTTTCTGATATCTCCCCTCCCATTAAGTGTCCCCTGCTTGACATTCTCCTAGCGTCCTCTGTTTACAGCATTTATGCCAGTTTGCTGTTTTATATTTTTATGGCTATTTGATTGATGTCCATCTCTTTAACAAACCCATAAGCTCTATGAAGCCATGAATCATGTCTATTTCATTCACTATTGTAGTCCAGTACTCAGCAAAAGCTTGGAATGCACCAGAACTCACCGTTGTCTTTGGCATCCCCAGAAACAGAGAGGTGAGCACCATAAAACCTACATCCTAGGCCTTTGTGAAATGGGAGCATATGTGGCTTACTAAAGGTGTCCCTGCCCATGGGACTACTCTCTTGGCATTTGAGGTTGAGTCATTTTCATCAACTGCTCAAAGAGAGATGGTTGCTGAAGAGACCAGATAGCATTTGTCAAATCCTTCAGCTGCCCTTAGCTTTGTCCAGACACATCTGGAAAAGGATATCTCCCACTCAAACATCTGAACATGCCTAACTGGTAAAAGGCCTGTAATAGCCCCTGGGAGGGAAGGCCCAGCAAGCTAGGTGCAGGGCTCAGATGGCCAGATCTTGAGATCTGTAGGGCAGCTTGTTTACAAAGCTTTGCTGGTTCACTGGGGACAAGCTCCAAGAGCCAAGGTACACTAAGAAACATGGCCTTTGTTCCCCCCAGCTGGATAAAGCGTCTCTTGGGGTATTGGGTTAGCCTTGCGCACGTCACTGCCTCTCAGTCTGATACCTCCCCTGGGACCATCTGTTGGAGGCTGACGCACCCATTTCAGGGCAAGGCAGCTCTGCCACCCCTTTTTCCAGTTTCCTGATCAGCTTTTCTCTGCCTTATTATCCCCCCTCCTCTATATCTTGCAGACAAACCTCGCTTTAGTTTTCTTGTCACTCACTACATATATTTTCCTCTTTTGAGCCTTACAAAAGCCCCATTTTACAGATGAGGATGCTGAGCCTCAGGGAGCTAAAGCAGCTTGTCCAGCCTACACAGCTGTTAAGGAGCAAAGCCAGCAGGGAATTCATGTCTTCTGGCTCCACATCCAGCATTGTTTCCCTTCTAATTCCTTCTTCCTGTCTGTCTGAATAGCCCTCCAGTCCCCTTATCCTTAAAGCTCCCAAGAGTCCAGCCAGAGCTCCCTTCCAGTCTGTGATCTGGCCCTGACAGTGGGAAGAAGTCTGGGAGCTTCTCGTCTGAGAGTCTGAAAATAAGGCAGATTTTTATGGACCCAGAGAAGATATGTTGACCATCATGATCTTTTCCATGGACTTCTAGTGGCCCCCTGCCAGAATTCCAAGGTGGTTTCTTGGGTGTGTGATAGGGGAGCTTTCCAGGTGGTCCTGACCACCCTCAGTGCTGACTTCCCCTGGGAACTGCCCCATGGAACCCTTGCAGATGAGCCCACTCATTTTGCATCAACCAAAGGGAGAATCACAATGTACCAAATGAAGGGATCTCAGAGAGCATTAAGCCCATTTGTAAAACAAGGAAACTCAGAGAGGGGAAGGGATCTTCCTTAGGCCACGCAGCAAATTAGAGGAAAATCCAGAACTAGAACCAGATCTATTGGATTTTCATTCAGTGCTCTTGTGAGCTCCAGTACGTTCCATAGATTGGCCATCCCATCAGCTACATCTCAGAGCCAGGACTTTTTGTTCTAGCGCTTTCACATCCATTTGTCTCATTTATTTCACAACAGCTCTGTGAGTTAAGCATTATTTGGGCCATTTCACATTTAGGAAAGATAATTATTTTACAGGTGGGGTGACAGAGACAGAGAGTTAAGAATCATGCTAGTAAGCCCAGTCTTGCCACTAGACCATGCTGTCTCATGAATATGGTGTCCCCAACTGAATGGTGACCCCTTTGGCAGCAGTAATTTTTTTTTTTGGAAGTTACCTTGTGCTGAAGCAGGGAGCTGTGTGCTTTAAGTACATTACTTCATCAAAGTCTCCTCCTGTGAGGCAGGTTTAGCATTCTTATTTTGAAAGGGAGATTACTGAGGTTCAGAAAGGAGTAAAGTCACTTGCTCAAGTTAGTAGTGGTAAAAGTCAAACCCAGGTCTATCTGACTTCAAAAGCCACCATCATGTGCCTTAAGTCATGTAGGAATTGTCCTGATCCAGTGCCTGATCACGTAACAGGTGCTCATGAGATGTTTGCTGAGGGAGAAGGAAAGGCTATATTCTGTTTGGACCCAGCATGTGTCAGGGGGCCAGGTTTAGGTGGGAGCTCTGTGCGTGAGTCTCACAGATGTGGCAGGATACTACCACCAGGCAGTGACAATGGAGCACACCCTGCTCTTTATTTTCATGTCTGTGAGTGTGGGCGATTTGCTCCTTGCCTCTGACCCAGGGAGACTGACTATCCCAGTGCTGTGGCCCCTGTCACTGTTTATCTGGCTTTCTTTGTACATGAGGCTCTTCTTCCCTGAGTGTTCCCTGAGGGCAGAGGCAGAGCAGGATACATCTGGCCCCCCTATGCCTAGCCCAGGGTCTGGAGGGTCTGGGCCACAGCAGGCATCGTTCAGCACTCCCTGAATTGAAGCATTGATGTCTGCTGGGGGGAGGGCCTTTGGGTAAGTGCTACAAAGAGGCATCTATAAGTCAGCCTCTGCCAGATGTCCAACTGCTTTCTCTCCTCAAAGGGATCTGGTCCTCTAAGAACAATCTCTAAAAATGGGCTCTGTACATGTAGGAAATGTTATACATATAGGAAAAAACTGCCCGTTGATCTTTTATGCCTCCATTTGGGCAGTTGCCCATTGCTGCCACCTTCAAGAAGCCCTCCGTGCCATCTTTGGGTGTGAGTGATCTCCCTTTGCTTGGGTGTCCTCACAGTCCACAGTCTGTCTCTTTTCTATCCTGTCCATGGTCTTTGTGTGACCTGGCAGGTCACTGACTGGGCCGTAAACTTGTGGAAGACAAAAGCCGGCTCTGATCAGCCTAGCTCTCTGGCATCAATTTTGTGCTCTGATCTATGAAGACCCAGTGACACTGAATTTGAGATCCCCTTCCACCACCACCACATGGTACTAGGTCCTTCCTTTGTCCCCAGCAGGTACAGACTCAGATAATTCCTTCTCTAAATAGTATTTTCTGTTCAACAATTTAGAAAGGCTAATATGATGGCATAGGAAATTGTACTAGACACCACCAAACCTAATATACAGCCTACAAGAGACATAACTATTGTCCTACCTCTATTACAAGCTATGGATAATTGCCAGCTGGTGATATCTTGCTGGGGTTTGTGATTGAGGCAGGATCCCCTGGTCTCAGAAAACTGGAAGGCATTGAAATTATGAAATGTCCTCAGAAACATCTCTAAGAATTAACTGAATCCCCCTCTGATTCTATTCTAGAGAGTCAGGTTTGGATGAGCCAAGAGAGATGAGATGGCGTTTTCTTTTCCATTCCTGTCCTCCTTTATTTTCCTGATGAGGAAACAGGCTCAGACAGGAAAGCCAATAGCTCAAGGCCACACGGTGAGTTGGTGGCATATTTAGGGCTAGGACCCAGACCCGCAGACTCTCAATCAGTCCCTGTAGCTCTTCCAGGGCTTTAGGTATCACATGGTGTGTGCCTGACACTAAGTATTTGCTATGCATTAGGCCCTATGCTATGCCCTTAACATACATTCCCTCATTTGATTTTCCCAGAGCACCTATGAAGTTGGTTCTATTATTTATGTTCATTTTACAGATGAGAAAGCTGAAGCATAGAGAGTTCACAGAACTGAAGGGTAGCAGAACTATACACATGCAGCTTGTTTTACAGGTTTGAAGCAGGTCAGGATATCTACTAAGAGCTAAACGACGCTGGCAGCAGGGTGGTGTGTAGGAAGAGCACTGGAATTGGAGCTTAGACCCGTGCATCCTGCCTATTGTTTTCTTCAATACCAAAACCCTAATTTCAAAGTCCAATTTGCTCAAAGGAGGAAAGGTTTTCTTCTTTTCTGAAATTTCCCGTGGACTATATGAAAACTACATCCAGACTAGGGTAAAACTGGGAAAGGATGGTTATTCTGCAGTTAGATTCCGACAGGGCGGATGATACCAACAGCCTAAGAAAGTTTTCCAAGGAAAACTCACCAATGGCCTGCCCTAGGGCACTTCAACTGGCCATCAGATCCCCAAGCCAACTCTCCTCCACTCCAGCATCAGATAGAGGCCGCCGGAGCCCTAACTGGCCAAGGGCACGCAGAATCCCAGGCACTTGCGCGAGTAACGGCGCGCCCTGCACACGCCCCCGCACGCCGACACCTGCGGCCACCGCGCACACCTGCACCTGCCGCACCGAGGACGGGTCCGCGTGCTCCGTGAGTCCACCGGGCGCTCCCCACCCCGCTGTCCCGGCGCGCTCAGTCTCTCCACTCCGGCCTTACCTCAGCTCGCCCTCGCGGCCCACGTCGATGGGTCCGTCGGACTCGCCGTCGGAGCCGCTGGGCTCCCTGGGAGGCTTCATAGCGAACGCAAACTGCTTGGGTCTC